GCTCCGAATTGGCCAGAACTTTCCGCGAGAGAAGGTGGCAATGTAGGCCAGTGCAGGGGAAGGGCGTCTATGTACGTAGGTGCAGACTTGTTCTGATCTGTTAAAATGTGTCAGAAGACGGAAATTTCGTACAGACGAAACTTGTAGTCCGATTCGCGAAATTCAGCGAGCTGCCAATACCCTGTGATCTAGCAAAGCAACCACGAACGGTTTACAAGTGAAGCTTGTGATGTTGGGGAGTTGGCGTCTGCGTCTGCGCACTATAAACGCACACTTCCTGCACACCAGCCTTGTAAGGTGTAGACTGATACACAGGCAAGTAGAATCACAAGCAAACTGTGTTGTGACTCAATACTAGAAAGACGAGCTGTTCATGTATGTGCATGTTTGTCTGGAATTAAAGGTGTCGTGCGTATGTATGTATGTATGTATGTATGTATGTATGTATGCATGTATGAAGGTTTGTATGTATGTAGGTAGCTAGCTAGTTAGCTAGCTAGCTAGCTAGCTAGCTAGCTAGGTAGGTAGGTAGGTAGGTAAAGGTGTATGCATGCATGCACGTATGTAAGTACGTATGTATGTATGTATGTATGTATGTATGTATGTATGTATGTGTGCATGTATGTATGTAGCTATGTAAGTATGTACATAAATACATATGTGTGTATCTACATGCACACGCCTACTTCCAGTGAACTCTAGTACTTCCAGTGAACTCTAGTATCGGAGAGATTCAGCGTACAGCTCGCCTCTACTTACTTGTACTCCGTTGCACAGACCTGCATGCACAGAGACACACACACACACACAAGCACATCAAGGCGACAAAATACATACAAACATACAGGTGCATAAGCAGACGAACTCCTAAGGTATCATAATGGCACGGGAATAGTAGGGGTGAAAGCTGCAGACAATTCACAGCTAGAATTCGTACCTGAAGAACGGCTACTAACGCATGCATGCATATGTATGTGTATATAAAATATGTCTACGAATACCTGTACATGTGATCTGTCAGTAAAAATGTGAACACGCGCGTGTATATGTAACATACGCATACAAGCTAAGACAAACATCTATAAGATGTGTATGCATTGTGTATACACACACATGAGAATAAATGCATACATACCTAACTAGCTACCTACCTACATACATACGTATATGCATGCATGCATGCAATATACATAAATATATATATATATATATATATGGACGGAAGTATGTGTGTGTATATATATATATATATGTATATATATCGTTATTCAGTTGTTTGTTTTCATTACATGTATGTCTGTGTCCCCCAATGCGATGGGGAGGGGAGGGAGACAGGGACAGACTCGCGTGCGGCGCTTCATAGTCGCATAGAGGGTTTGATCACGAATGCAGACGTGTTAAAGCTTACCCTTCTAGGCCCCACTTCTGATTCTCGTAAAAGGGGCCTATTAGGCGGTCTATATCTCCAAACGTCCCTCTAATCCTAACTCCTAGTATGCTAGATCGTGTGAGCGTGGACAGCTTTCCAACTGTTTCACGTTTCATTAAAGAAGGCATCAAGTCCCGGGCGCATAAATCATCGGACGTTAGCATTTGCATCTGTGAGACATGCAGATAGACCGTGGTATGACTGCGAGTACAGCTTTACACACACTGTACTACCCGTGTGCTCGCTTTACACGGTATATGAACAGATGAACTGAAAATATATGTGTGAGTGTGTTTTCATGCTAATATATATATATATATATACACATGCATACATATATATATATATATAGATGTATGAGTATGTATATATAGATGTGTGTACAGACTTGTCCAGTTGCTGGTATGTGCTGGTTGCTGTATGATGTAGCGCATGTGGCCACTGAGTCATACAGCCTCACGATAGGAGGTAGTAGGCCGGATAGAACTCCAAGCACCAAGTACGCAGCCAGTGCTCTAGATGGATACATGCACTGAAAGAAAAATAACAACCTGGCAGCAACACATGGCATGCCTGTGGTCACGGGGACGATAATGGACTCTGCAAGCCAAAGGCTGCCAGAAAAGTGAGCCAGCATTCGTTCCTCCTGGTAGTTCTGGTGAGTGATCTGGTCACTGCCGCTGCTCTGCTGCTCCTACTACTACTTCTACTACCACTAAGTTGCTAAGCGATCTAAGCGATGACGACGTCGACGGAGACGACACCCACTATGACGACTGCCGTTACAACCCCCCCAACCCGCAAACCCCCCTCACCCCCCTTCTACTCAACAGCGGCGGTTGGTATTGGACTACGACATCACGAAAGTATTGTAAATACCGAGTAAAGTGGATGTGTTCCTAAACAGTGCTTAGGAGAGGTGGTTGGTGGGGGGGGGCGCCTACTACTACTACGACGACAACAACAACAACAACAACTACTACTACTACTACTACTACTACTTCTGCTACTTCTGCTACCGTCTACCACTACCACTACTACCACTGCCTCTGCCAACTACTACTGTTTCTACTGCCAAAATCATCATCACGACTACAACTTATTACTGCCAGCTCCGGGCTACGACTACACTTCTTCGGAAGCTGCGGCTACTGCTCCCACCGCTTGTATACTGCTACTGCTAAGGCCACCAGTGCAGCTGCTGCGGCTGCTGCTGCTATATCTACCGCTACCACACCCACTTACCACCACCACCACCACCAGACCGCCACCACCACGTTACTACTGCTACTACGACGACGACGACGGCGACTACTACTACCACTACTACTACTACTACTACTACTACTACGCCCACTACCACTACCACCACCACCACCACCACTACTACTACTGCACCACTACTACATTACGGAGTCCACGGATGCTGCCATTCCGGATCCCAAAGCACTACAACAACAACAACAACAACTACTACTACGACTACCACTACCACTACTACACTACTACGACTACGACTACTGCTACAACTACTACTGCTGCTGCTGCTGTGGGCTGGTCGCATGATGCAAAACATGGCCTGCCAAAAACGTATTCCCAACCGCATTCTGACATAGCTTGCTACGAGACCGTGCCCTGCATAAGCGAACTCCCCCATACCTTGCAGCAAGCTAGACGTGACACCTTGGACTTCATCAATGGCTTGCAGCAAGACACTATACAGTTGAAGTTTCCCAGCAGCTGCCCGCGAAGCAGACCCTGTAGCCAGCCTCTGCGTAATCGAATTCCTTGCAGTACTAGGTTGCGCAAAACAGCCATTGGAATTGGAAATTTTCGATAGCTGGCCGGACAAAAAATTCTCCACCTGTGTTTGGATAGTTGTCACCAGGCATGTCGTCCCCGGGGGCTGCAGAGAACGCAGATCAAGAAGCAGTCGGCATCGCACCAACGACAGCAAAAGGCCATTCAGAACGTTCTGGACAGATGGAGTGCGTGCATGGACCGGGGAGATCTTACAGCATGTTGAAGGAGCGCTTTGTCGACGAAGTCGAGGAGCTCAAGACATCCCGACGGCGGAAGAGTCTGAAGGATAAGAGGCCGAAGGCACCGCGTCAGCAGCGCGAGGAGGCCCTGCAGCATGACCTAGACTAAAAGCTTGCAGTTTACGGAATTAGTTTGGATGGCTATTCATTTGCATATACGACCTGAAGCTTTTTCGGGGGCGCGTTGCTGTGCGGTCGAGTTTTGGCCTTGAGAGTTTAGCCCAGATGTGGTTGAAGGAGACGTTTGACCAACCTCGAGAAGCTCACCATGTTTTTGTGGGATCACAATGGGCGAATGCCAAGAAGTCGCACCCCGGCTGCTGGAAAGTCCGATCACTGCAGGAAATCTTGTGCTGCCACTCTGTAAGAGAGAAGAGTCGATAAGAGCCTAGGCATGAGCAAACTTCACGTAGGCCAAAAGGTTGCGGATTCAGGAGAGGGCTGGAGCGTTCTGGGACGCAGGGCTGACGCATGGGGCTGACGCATGGGGCTGTCAGCAGTATGCACGAGTTCAACTGTAACTGACTGCAACAAGATAGCGGGCGCACCTGCGGGAGTTTGCGGCTCCCGTATGAACCTACAGAACCAGTCACAGTCACCGCCGGATTGCTTGCCGGTGAAACTTGAGACATCTTGAGACCATGACGGTCTGCCTGCAATGGCCTTTTCCTGAAGCGATATGTACGGGTCTATCACTGTCTTAGTAAGGATGTGCCGATGGGATGTCTTCCCTTAGGGATGTGTTGCGACTAGTTGAACTGATGTCTAGCAAAGCTGTTGGTAGTTTGTGGCTTCTGGGATCCTCGCCTGACCTGGTCGAGCGCGAGTGCCAAAAACAAGATAGCGGGAGTTCAAATCCGAGGTTCTGACGATGCGATGGAGAGGTCCTGCTATAACTGGATCCACCGCCAGCTGCGTGCCCTTCTTGAAGGGAAGCTTTGCGCGGACAGACTGCAGAAATGCTTGAATGCACCGTATCTTCGAAGGCTCGCAGCGCAAGTTGCATTTCGCACGAACTGACGGAAGAAACCTGCTCCAGTGGAACTGAACAGGCATTGGGCAGCGAAGCTTCAACCACTTCCTCGAACGACACAGAAGTCGGCTGTGTAGCCCCAATATCCAGCAGCCCGAATTCACCGGACTTAAAATGACGAACAAATTCGTTTCTTTGCAATGACCAGGAACTGCGGGCTTTTCAGGAAAGCTCTGTGGCAAGATGTTTTGGACAAGCCGCGCAGTGCCTGTGCATGTTCTGCATGTTGCAGCCAATGCCCCTGAAGTTCATATGAAGGTCGCAATGCCCTTTAGTTTGTGCTGCCTGGCCACTGCCACCAGACGATGAGTATATTCGAAGCCATTGCTGGATAGTCATGCTGCGAAGGCAGTGGCCACTAGGTCCAGAAGACCCTGCAAGTGTACATACCAGCGCAGTAGTGACAGTAGTGATTTCGGACCAGATTGGCGGATTCAAAGATCAAGCTCGTGCCAAACCGTGGCTGCCAACATCCATCCATCTCGCCTTGTCACAGGAAACTCCTGTACTTCAAGGACGTTGACCAGGAGACCTTGCAGAAACTCATAGCAGCCATGGAGGCTTCACACCGGAAGCACGGGGACGGGCCGAGGCTTTAAGTTATCACTGCCGTGGTTCAGAAATGCAGTTCCTCATTGTTTTTTTCTGGGCTGGAAAGAGGCCCTATTACAATTATGAGAACGCCACCCCTCGGTTGGTTGCTTTGACTGTGCACGTTTCGGTTGTTTTCTTTGACGGGTGCACGTTTCGGCGAATTAAGTGTGAACATCAAGGACCTACAGCGTGGCTTCAGCATCGTGTTTGCGTTCGCTCTTTGACATGTTGCAGAAAGCCAAAAAAAGGCGCGACTACCGAAGTCATGTTGCTTGGAATTATAAGAGATCCGACGGCTGCGAACTCCGACATGGCCGAAGCCACGACCGCATGCACTGCGATCCTTCGGTCGTAAGACGGATTTGCTGGTGTGTGGTGGCTATGAGTATGCGACATGCTCAGTGCTTGGTGCTTGCAGTCAAAAGCTTGATTTTGTTGTCTTTCTTGGCAGCGAGTCATGGCTTGATAAACATATGTGCGAGTGGGTGATAGTGGGTGGAAAACTCCAGATGCTCACCATGAACACATTCTGTTGTCTTGCACCAGGAGGGAGGCCACAGCTTCGGTAAGTAGAGCCTTCCAGCTCCGAAGACAATAAGGTAATCAGAGTGCCGCTGATCTGGTATTCCCAGAACTGGTGTGCGACTGAATCCAATATGGCTCCTTCAGTTGAAGTGTTCCGGATGTTCCACGTCACTTTGCAGGTTTGCTTCGAGCGTGGGTTGAAGTGTTGTTACAGGAGTGCCACGTGCTGTAGGCTGGATGTTGGAGAAGTGTCGTATGGCCCCCGGCTGGAAAACGTATTGCTTCAGAGGCCGCTCTCGGGCGCACCTACAAAGCGCATCTAGCTGTAGCACCTGTGAGAATACTGTCCCACCCGGCTTGCTCCAACGCTTGACAGCGACGTATTAGTCGGGCCGTACGGCAGGGGGCAAGCTGTCTTGGTCAGAAGGTCTGGAAGTCCTTTGGACTTTGGAGTCTAGGACATAACAGGACGCAGCATCGGACAGAACTTCAACACGTGGTGGCCGCCTTCCATGAAATTGTTGTCACTTGTCAGGTACTTGTGGGCATTGCGTGGCTATTGCTTTGAATTGGTTTAGGTTTTCAGGAGTTCTTGAAGCAGTTGATTGCTCGAAAGCTTGGCAAATCATTTGCATCTGTACAACGGGAAAGCATTCCCGGCTTTTCCTGGTCCCGTGCGATGTCGTTCTACGATTCGAGTGGATGCCTGCCGGAAGCGGCGAGTGATAGTGTCATACCCAGTCTCAGCTCGAAGAGAATGCCGAATCAGCCCGGCGGGTGAACCAGCGGTGTTTGCAAACCTTTGCTGCCTTTGCGATGGGCGACCCAAACAGAGAGATGTGCCCAGGCCGAGGGTTCTTGACATTAAAGTGCTGTTGATGCCAGCCGGCCGACTGAGAGCACTCCGTTCATAGAACGCTGTCGCTCTCGGAAGCTTGTGCAACCGAAAGCGGATTCTAATGCCACAGCTGAGAAGATCGAAGCCGTTTCAATCCTTTTCAATCTGGGGTGGGGGGGTTCTCCCTGCAAACATCCCAAACGCTGCCCCAGGATCGCCGGACTGCAGCCCCTCCCAGATATTATGCCCTAGTCTTATTGGCTGGATGGTGAACCTGAGTGGCTAGATAGGCCTCGAAGAAGGGGCTTCGTGCATCGCGTGCCAGTCAAAGTGGGTATTGAGTTGTGCTGGCAGGTTTTCCGCTTCCCCGACGGTACGCAAGTGTCGCGGCAAGGAAGCTATCGAGGCCCTGTGCATGGAACCCTCAGATCATGACGGTAAAATCTGCAGAACGCCATGGCTTTTTCCCGGATGCAGGGCGACCCCGTTGATATGTCAGATCCATGTGTCTTTGTCTCTCTAGCCTTCTCTGTCCTCCTGTTGTCTTTCTGGCGACGGTATGTGGCTGCATAGCAGACTTCGTAGGCAAGCACAGAGAGAGAGAGAGAGATCGATGCCACAACCCTGGCGAAAGAAAGATCGATGCCACAGCCCTGGCGAAAGAAAGAAAGATAGATAGGTTTGTACATGTGTATATATATATATGTGTGTGTGTATATGTATGTGTGTACATATATACAGATATATATATATATATGTATGTATATATATATATATGTATATATATGTATATATATATATATGTATATGTACGAATATACTGCTAAAAATGTTGGTCGTTCGTGTGGCCAACGACGGCTAGCAATGTTGGTGATTCTGGTAATACCAGCAAGATTAAGTTTCATAGTCGCGAAATGTTCTGAGCACTAGTTTTCCTAAGCCTTTTGTCAGGGTGCAGACTCGCGAAAGAAGTGGTGTTGGTAATACAGGTGCAGCGAGTACTACAGCTAGCCTCGTGTTAGTAGTATTTGGTAGTACCAGCTATGATAGTAGAAAGTATGCAGATGGGAGTACCGTCGGCAACAGTAGTCGTTTCAGCAATCGGTTCTTGTGTCGAGAACAAGACTACTGGCGAGGTCGATTTTGGGATAGTGTTTTCTATTTATCTATCTATTTATCTGTCTATCTATCTACATCTCTACATATTTACCTATCTGCCTATCTATCCTATCTATCTATCCTATCCATCTATCTATCCTACCTATCTGTCCTACTTATCTATCTATCTATTTGTCCTACCTATCTATCTATCTATCTATCTATCTATCTATCTATCTATCCATCGACCCTACCTATCTATCTGTCCGTCTGTCTATCCTATCCTATCCTATCCTATCCTATCCTATCCTATCCTATCCTATCCATCCATCCATCCATCCATCTATCTATCTATCTATCTATCTATCTATCTGTCTATCATATCTACCTATCCTACCTATCTGTCCTGCGTACTATATCCATTTACCTATCTATCTATCCTATTTGTCTATCCTATCTATCTATCTATGTATCTATCCTGTCTACCTATCCTACCTATCCTACCTATCCTACCTATCTGTCCTACCTACCTACCTACCTACCTACCTACCTACCTACCTATCTATCTATCTATCTATCGATCTACCTGAATATCTATCTTTCTATCTATCTCTCTATCTATTTATCTTTCTATGTATCTATCTATCTATCTACCTATCTATCTATCTATCTATCTATCTTGGATTATGTATATATATATATATATATATTTGTACTCGTATGATCTATATCTGAGATTATGCACTTTAGTCCTGAACATCTCTGCTGCTTGCTAGGAAGCCACTTCTTCATCGTGTCGAAGGGCACGTTGGTGGTCTTGAGGCTGGCTTTGAAATCCTTGCGTTGCGAGCCGCGCAGAATATGACGATGGTAGTTGACCGGTTGGTTTCAGAATTCAGGAATGGTGAAACCAAGTCGGAGATCACCAAAGGTCGGACGGACTGGGTTCAGGTATGTCTATGAGCTCGACCTCTTAGCATTCCTTTGGAGGCGCCGCTTTCGGGGAGAACGTGATCCTCATGTCAGGTGCACAAGATGCCACAATCCAAGCAAAAGGTGCGCATCTGCATCAGCTGCCATAGCTAGGCGTGCAGACAGAAAGTCGACGTTGCTTGTACTCCATGCAGGAGAGGTGGAGGTCTATGGCATGCATGGGGTGAGGAGCCGTGCTCTCCTTGCTGAGCAATATCAGCTCGCACCTCGAGATATCATTCACTGCAACCTGCCATCCTTCACACTATCATCGGCCACTCAGGCGAGAAAGAGGTCAAGCCAGCAGTGCAGTGAACGAAGCGCTCAGCTGGGGACCTCGCATAGTGCCCGAATGACAGTCCTAGCTGGGTACGGTATTCAACACGGGTAGGTTGCACAGTTCATGGATTCATGGGCTGCTTGCCCCAGGTTGTGATTCCTGCTGGCTGCTACGCAAACTCACGCCTTATCAGGTAGGCATGAGCCACGTTCTGCATGCCTTCGCAGGGAGCATGGAGTGATGCATACTTGGGTTCGCTGCCCTGACAGATGCAGTGCCTTTTTGACAAAGCTGGAACCTCAGATGCCACAATCTTCCAGTTCTTGGTACGGCTCTGGAGTGGGAGACCGATAGTCTCATGCGTGATGGGTACCATAACGACAGGTCAATGTGCTTGGCTTCGAGAATGGCGCCACAATCTTGGAAGCTGGCCACAAGGTGCTCGGTTTTGAGGTTTTTTTGGCTCATACCGACTCTTGTGCCAGGAGACGCCCGACCTTCACATTGTTTTGCAAGGGCAGGTGCTGTCCCGAGAGGAGGTTTTCCCTGTGCTCTCGCGGCCCGGACAGGTCTCCCTCACCGCAGCGGGTGCAGTTCTCAGCGAGAATATTCCCATCCGCCCATCTGCGGGGTGAGCTGCTGCTGCAGGCCAGGAAGTCTCGCTTGTGGAGCGTCCTGCCCCAAGCCACACATGGAAGCAAGAGCGAGCCGTGGACGATGATTCCCTTCCGAGGTATGGGCGTAGTTGGTGACGGCGGATTGCTGTGCAAGGCATCGATTCCCGTCATGCTCCAGGAAGACTCAACAGTTCTTGATTTCAGGAGGAAGCCTTGAAAGCAGTGGCTTGTGGGGCTGTTGGTCAGCCCAGTCGCCCGCAGGGTTGCTGGTGCAACATGGTGCGCGATGTGCTGAATCTGGGAAGATTAGGTCCAGACGCTGGTCCTCGACAGAACTTTGCTAGAGCAGATGCCAATGCCTCAAGGCTTTAGTTGAAGAAGCATGAATCCCAGAAGGCCACCATGCTGGAGACGGCACAGCTGTGAACTGCAGGAGATTTTCCGTAATGAACCGCAAAGCATTTGCGTACACGCGAGCTATCGGTAAAGCCATTGTCGAAACCATAGAGGCCTGCGGGGCCAGGGTGGCCGAACGTTAACCTGTGCTTTCAACTGCAAGCGCAGACTGCTTTCAGAAAGATCGAGGCAAGAAAAAGAGAGACACAGTGGGACACGACTCGCATGCACGGACAGCAAGAGAGCAAAGGCCGATTGAATCGATGGGAGGAGGAATCTGTCGGGGAAGGCAGCCTAGATGATTTTGCATGTTGTTCAGTCGGAACCAGCAGACGAGTCAAACTGCACGCAGCTCTGCAAAATCGAGCACGCAGCTAGACTGCTGGTAGTGGTACCGTTTGTGGTGGTGTTGTTGCTAGCCGCTCTTGCGTCTGCCGCCGCGAAGGATTTGTGGTTTGCAGGGTTGCAACGTGCTTAAGACTCGAGCTTTGGCACATGGCTGTCTGGACAAAACACTTCCGTTTCGATTTCAACGGTGTTTCCCTGAAAAACATGTTCGTTTTCATTTCAGGTATGCACTGTGCCAAAACTCGACTTTTCGCACATAGCAGCTTGGACTTCTATGGGTATTTACAATCATCCGTGGCTTCTTCGTTCCCGTTTGTTGCTTGGAAGTCGGCTGCTTTCTTCGGACATGCTGTGTCTGTTTTTCTTTTTGGCTTCCGTGCAAGGGCGGGGAGGGGGAGGGGGGGAGGGGGGGGAGGTGATAACGTCCATGCGAATGCGGCTTGCATCTAGTGTTTCTTTTATTGCTCCGTGCAGGGGTGATCAGGGGTGGTTTTGCGGAAGCGTCGTAAACACAGTGGTTTTCGTTGTTTTGTGCCGAGAACCCCGCCAGCTCCAGATTCAAAGCTGTATTCCTAAAGCAAGTTGCCTTGAGGATGATGATGATGATGATGATTATAATTATGCTGATGCTGACGATCGTTATGTTGATGCTCCTGATTGCGATGATGTTGGTGAGTATGATGATGATGATGATGATGATACTGTTAATGATGGTGGTGTTGTTGCTTGTTCATGCAGAGGATATCGATGGGCGATGACGATAGCTATGATGATAACAATGACAATGGCAATGTTGCTCCCTGTTGCTGCTGTTTTCTTGTTATCTGTCAGACGCTCCCACCGGGAAAGCCTCGCGTTTCGTGGGCTTTCCAATCAAAAATTTAAAACATGAGCGCAAAACTGAAGCACACAGAACAACGAAAACTACGTATGTGCGACACTTTCGCTAAAACCACACCCACAAAACTAACAAACAGCATGGACAACAACAAGGTGCAAAGCATCCTCGTATTCACGAAAGCCACACAAAACTCGATGTTGTCAGGCTTTTGACCAACAAAAATCATCAGAACAAAACGCCACAACCTCCCTTCCTTCATGTTGGAGAGAGCAAGTTAGCTCGAAAACCGGCGATTTCGCGTGGCTTCTTCCTTCATGCTGGAGAAGATGTTCCGGTTATAGCGTATTTAATTTCTTTTCCTCGATTTTACACCCCTAAAGCGATTTCGTGTGACTTCTTCCTTCGTGTTGGAGAAGTTTTTGTTTGTTTTTCGGTTATGCAGTCTTTAATTTCTTTTCTCGCTTTTAACCCCTCTAAAACGATTTCGTGTGGCTTCTTCGTTCGTGTTGGATAAGATGTGTTTAATTTTCGGTTATACAGTATTTAATTTCCTTCTTCGCTTTTAACCTCCTAAAGCGATTTCGTCTGGTTGAATCCCTGGTGTTAGAGATGACTTTTTTTTAATAAGATTTTTGGTTATACAGTATTTACTTTGCTAAGCGTTAAACCCCTATCGTTTCCAGACTTTGTGTTGTTTTCGCAAGAAAAACAAGCCGTCCCTTCCCTCGGAGTCCCCTGCGCTTCCCCGACTCAGAGTTTGGTTCCTAGGAAAAACAACCCCCTCCCCGCAGACTTTGTTTTTTGTAGGAGAAACAAACCCCTCTGCACCCCCCGGCGCCCAAGCCACTCTCCCTAGCGTCACTGAAACAAACAAACTTCTACCATCGGAGTTTGTATTTTCACCGCTGAAACAAACTCACCTGGTCGGAGTTTGTTTGTGCCCGCCGAAACAACTCGTCGGGCCCTGGCCAGAGTTTCGGAGTTCGTTTGTTTTCCCCTCCCCCCCAAACCTTGCTCTTCAAGACTAAAACAAAGATGACCCGCAAACCTTTGCTGTTTTCCGGAGAAACAAACTCTGCCCAGGCTTGTCAGTTTTTACTCGAAGAAACAAACCCCCGGCCAAGCGAGTGAGTTAGTTCCCCCCCACCCCCCTCAAATCTGGAGAAGCAAAACTCTGTAGCAAATTAGTTAGCTTCTTTCAATAAAACAAGCCCCAGCCTGGCGAGTTAGCTAGTTACGGTTTAAACTCTGGAAACAAACTTCTAGGTAAAGTTTCAATGTCTTAGAATAAACTAGCTAGCCTCCGCCACTTGTCCGGTGCTGGTGCGGGTGCGGGTGCGGGTTGCTGGTGCTGCCGCTATCGTCGCTGCCACTGCTGCTCGTCCTGGCATAGCGCGTCTCTATCAGATATTCACCACAACGACGAGCTCCTGCTCCGCGATCCCAACTGCTCCCTTCCCATCTCATGGAGTTCTGCAGTAGTCTTGCAAGGTTCGGGACGAACTTGGAGGAGACAGTGATCCGATCACGGATCCTGGACACTTTGAGACAACAGGAGGACGGCTTGCGACTTTGCACATCCCAGAAACATCCCAGGCCGACTGACGCAAAAGAACCGCTAATTCGTCTTTTCAACGGCGCTCCTCATTAAATGTTTTCGATGTCGGTCTGCTTTCTGGACGGCGTGCCCCCACTGCAGAGCTCCGCATTGAAACCCGGTCGCCCTGGTGTATTTTGCTCAGAACGCGTTATAATAGCTGGAGCTTTCGAACGCAGGATCTGATCCACTTACGTGTGGACCAGCTGGACGGCCTCGCGAGCCTTTGCGAGGTGCACCAAGTGCTGAAGGCGGATAGGAAGGATGGCTTAAATGTCATGATGCACTGCAGGTCATCGATCTGCAGCCGGGGTCAACCATCGAAAGGCACATGTCCCTGGCACTCGCGGAGCCAAGAACGGATGTGAAACCTTCGATTCGGGCCGCGCCAGGTCCAGCTACCGTTTGGGCTTCAGCCTGGTCGGGCAGGCCGAGGCGGCTGCGTTTGGCTTCGGTGCAAAAGTACAGTCAGATACATGCAGATATGCAAGTCGCGTACAAGTAGTACGCGAATGCCTGATATCTCAAAGCACCCCTGAAGTCCTTCCTTCGAGGCAGCGCTGGTCGACAGAGACGGAAATGCTCAGAGCTCAGCTCTCCAGGTCTGAGCGATGCGGAGGAGGGCTGGGCGAGACCACATCAATCTGCTTCGAGGTCCGCCCTCCCGTTCAGCTCAGTGCCAGAGGCACTGGATGTGCCTTGGGCACTCGTACATGGCTGGGCAGTAGGGGGGCTTCCCGAGTTGTTCAGGCAAAGTTCTTTATCCGGAAGATGCGGACTTGGATGGGGACAGGTGTGGCTTGTGGCAATGCAGGCGAGTGGACCTGTCTCGGCTTCGTGCACTGCACCAGGTCACCCGTGCTCAGGCTAAGACTCGCCCCAACGGCGTGGGATCCTCAGCTGTCCGCTGTCCGAATTCACAAAATTAAAACAAGGATCACCCAAGCGGAGCTAGTTTGCATCGCTTCGCAGGACGCAGCCGGTGAAGTTGGCTCTCTGGTCAGGCAAAGCCTTGGGCTCTTTTGGGCGTAAACCCTGCAAGCAATAAAGCAGAATGCAAGCTCTGAGCATGCCTTGCCGCCGAGCACCGACCACTGACACGAGCCAGTCACGAGCCTCACTTCTGTGGGGAGAGGGGGCCCCAAGAGATGGTATGCCGCACCATGCACCCGGCACCCGGAGCAGACCCAGCGTTTTGTCAGCACACCGAGTCACATCCGCCACTCCCAGCACGGCAAAGTAAATGCCCCTACCATCCTGTGATGCGTGAGTCTTCCCATAAACACGCGTGCCCCTACTGTGCCTTCCTCAGTCTTTGCAGCACGCCTGAGTGCTTGAGAGATATCATATTTCAGAGTCACGAGCACGGCTAGGCACAAACACAAGGTCGCTGTGAATTGCAATGCAGGCTGATGCCAAGTGTAAGTCAGCCTCCTGTGCATCAGAGCTTCATGACAGACTCAGTGGAAGATTGTTCGGGCTTGCCTCTGTTTGGGTGTACGAGAGATTCAGCAAGGCCAACATGCTTGTGAGATGTGGCATATACTTGTTTGATCAATCATGTCTTGGCGATTTCCGGTTGCAAATTCGGCCAGCTTCGAAAGGTCAGGCAGATCAGACAGCGAAGTGCTTGTAGCTACTGCGGTGCTCGCTGCTAGTAGCAGATGTTAGCAACTGCAGTTGAAGGCCGAGCTGCTTCGCCAATCGGCGCATGTGGTAGCTTTTGCAGATGAAGATGAAGAAAGGTGACAGCTGAACCTGTCACGAATGCAAAGCGACACAGAGGGGCAGTGGGTTCCTGGCTTTGAGGCATCTGAAACATGGGCTAGACAGAGCATGTGAGATCACCAGACGGCGCCCTTGAGTGCAGGCCGTCCGGTGGCAGGCTTCTTGGAGGTCGTCCGCCGAAAAAAGCGCGTCAGTTCCAGCTGGAGCCTCGTATGGGTGCCGGCAACAAGTCGCCGCATTTTTCAAGTGCCGAGGTCCAGACATCTCGCCCATGAGCACCAGCAGTGAGGTGCAGCGACTTTCGAGAAAGTGGGAATTTGGCACCAGCAACCCGAGCGCTGCTTTTGATCCCACTTGGCGACTTACTACGACGCCTGCCACGCCAGAACCGCGCACGGTCACCCTCCATGAGATTAGCTGTACTCTCGGATGACAAGGCCGGGAGCTCTGACCCTGTGCATGTGCATGCGAGGGCGTTTTGTGCTTCTGGGAAGTTGGCATCGGCTGTCAGACATGTAGCCACGTCCTGCGCAGCCCGGACGGAGAACAGGTCAACGGCTGTTGCTAGTGTCTTGCCTTGTTGAAATTCAAAAGCCAAAGACTCAAAGACTCTTGCCGGCGTGCTCGTCGACGGGACGGGTTGTGTTCGGACTTGCACAATGCGCATGCGACTGAGAGCCGCCGATAGAGAGCATCGCAGATCTGCCTGTGGCCGGAGGTCGGGGCTTTGCGGAAAGTCGTGGTTTTCCGGACCCTGGCGCCGGACCAACTCCACAGGCTGGCCGAAGCACTGGAGGCAGGTGGCAGGGCTAAGCGTGTTCCCGGGAGTGCACCAGCTTTTTGAAACCTTTTCTCTCGAGCGCTTGACGGCTTGATAGTTTGATAGTCTGAGCTTTTGCGTTGTTCTCAGCCCCACCTTTCCGTTTGGCCAGGTAAAGAAGATGAAGCCTGGTCAGATAGTGTTCAACCAAGGCGCGTGGCTTTGTCCTGGCCTGCTTCTGCTTGGCAAATGAATGACTTAGCAGCACTGGGCTTTGTGCCAGGCGAAAAGGGCCAGGAGTTCTACATCATCCATACAGGCTTGTTGGAGGCGCGTCTCGCACATTCAGTTGCGAATTTCCAAGCGAGCCTGATTTCTTTGATAAGATCAGGTGTCCATAGACGGCCGCAAGGTGCGCACGCTTGGCATGGGAGACTATGTCGGTAGCATCCTGAGTGGTGGCACGTGCTCATGACAAGTCAAAGCGACCGGTCGCAGCTGATGGCAAGGTGAAAGAGCCCTGCTGTTTGATGGCCCTCGCACTGCAACGGTCAAAGTCGTAGAGGCGGAGCAGCTTTGGACTTCCTGGTGCAGCGCCCTCCGAAGTTCCTTAAGGACTGTGAGCTTTGGATGATGGACTTGGATGACTTCAACCAGGCTTTGATCAGGGCTTCTTGCAAACTGCCCGGCCATCACCTTTGCCATGCCAGGCTGTGCAGGGTCCGATCCTGGAATACATGAAGGCACTGAAGGGGAAGACTTGTCTAACCCATTCTGGTACATGTGGGGCCCATGTGGGGCCAACGCGGGGTGCCAAAGGCGAGAATCGGCCTCCAGAACACCAAGATCGACCTAAAGCCTGCATCCTAGGCATGCCAGGTGCTTCCGTCTAGCGGTCCAGCGGAAGAAGAGACGATTTCTTGAGAGGGCTTTGTGGGGCTGTTCTGGCCAGATTCGCAGCATCAAACATGTTGACATGTGCCACCAAGTTCTTTGACGTGCCTTCGCGTGATCGGGAGAGGAGGATTTGGAGTTGTAAAGATGGCTGCGAGCCCAGGAACTGCAGAACCAACCGCTCTCCGAGCCTGAGGTGTTATCAATCTTGATTTTACAGTTTATTGCCCAGGTCCAGTCCAAGACCAGCGACACGAGGCAATGGCCTTGCCTAACTTTTGCTCCAGAAAGCTCGCATTGAACTCATGGGCCGTAGGTATGCCTTGAAATGCGTCAGCAAGAAGCAGGCTGCTGCATGCTTACTCTGCTTTCTAATGGGCTGCACGCAAGGTCTAGGCTGGTGTTGTTGTGCGTTGCTATGCAGTCTCTGAGTTGCCGAGTTGGTAGCAAGGTCGAGCAAAAGCAGCAAAAGGCGCTTGCACATGAGAGAAACATCCTAGCAGAGCTGGACCGATGTGCACGTGCTGTCATGTGGAAGCAAGATGCCATCTCCTCGTCTCGCTTTGTTCATGGTGTTTCCATGTGAGGACCACCCCTTCATCATCAAGTTCGTGCGCTCATTCAACAGCACGCAGCTCAGGGCATGATGATCACTGGCCGCCATGGGGAAGACTGTGACAGGTCCTCGGCATGTGTACTTCCTCACGGAACTAGCAAGGGCCCCGAGCAGCTTTGGACATATTTGGACGTGGCCTTGCCGATTCACCCGATTCGAGCATCGTGTGAGTCCACCGGGTGTGTTCGGGGTTCCGAGTTCTGCCGGAGCACCTCAGGTCACGGGAGGGGAGCTTCTGGACGCTCTGGATGCTCTAGGCTGGATGCCCTGCTCTGCTTCGTGGCCGTCTGACCCCCGAATTGCGAGGCCTTCTCCAAGCACCGCAGGTGGCTCGAGACGTTTCCTGAGTGGGGACCTTCTAGGATCTCGATGCCATGCCAGGCCCAGTTCTATTCCGCGTCGATCATACTGGCTTTGGAGCCGGGTGCTCGGTGAATCTTGCTGTGAGCATCAGCGCCGTTGCAGGGGCGCCGTTGGTAAGGTTCCTGCATGAGCGAAGGATAGCGTATCTTGATCTCAAAGGCCAGACTGTCAGCCCAAACAACAACATGCTGCCACACATTCCTGTACCTGCAGGGGAAAATTGCCTCATCGACCAGCATGGCTACCTGAAGATTATTGATTTTGGAGTAGCCGAGCGGGTGCGCGGCGTAGCTGATGAGTTTGCTTTCCCCATTTGCACGAGCAACGCGGGCTGTGCCAGATTACCGATGGTCGCATATATGCTGCCTGCACCCCAGCCAGATGTCCAGTGCATGAGACCATCTGATTAATCTGAAGCCTCGCCGGGGTTTGAAGGATGTGTGCTGGTAGAAAGGCCCAGACAGTGAAACAGCTTCAGGGCGTCACCGTGCCGTAGACCGTAGCCGGATTTGTGTTCGCTTACCTGACTGTGTTCCTTCAAAGGTGAAGGGGACGCCGCTCTTCATGGCACCAGAGGCTGTCCCGAAGTTACGCAGAAGCCATTGCTTCTGCATGCAAAGCGAACCGGGTGGAACCTCGCCCGGCTTGTCCGAGTTGTGCGAGCATATTATTAGGTTTTGTGCTGAACGAATGGTGACGACCCCTTTTCCAAGAAAGCGGAAGATACAGCAGGAATGGATATGATATGATGGATTGCAGTGATCCTGTTTGTTTGTTAGTTGTCTCTCTCTCCCTCTCTCTCTCTGTCTCTCTCTCTCTCTCTCCGTCTCTCTCTCTCTCTCTCTCTCTGTGCTGTTGAATTGATAAGACGCTCGGATCCCCTCGGATCCCTAGAGATGAGAGTCCCCATTCCAAGCACCGCTACTGGACTGAGAGCCGGGTGACGATCGAGTGATGGCTGCGCAGGTAATACTGGGAAAGGGCCGTCTTCTCAGCTACTGCGTGTGGAGACTGCAGGCCTCAATGCGTGTTTGTTGCTTGCTTACCCCTGAGGAGGGTGTACTTGTAAGGATTTGAGACCTGATCTGGAATTAGGACGATTGCTTTTGTGAAACCAACCCCTGCAGAAGCAGCAGATGTCTAAATCGGAATGAATGGTCTTGATGACGACTGTAACAGAGATGAGCCGTTGTCGTGGTTCGGTTGCCAGTGCCAAGGATACACCACTTCGGCTGACCTTTGGAGTCTTGGAGTTTGCCTCTTTGCTACTTGGGCCTGTTTCATGGGCTCCCGTCAATCTCTGTCTCTCTCTCCCTCTCTCTATCTGGAGAGGGACCGAGAGACAAGTCTATAACTAGCCGGCGAATGGAAACATGGCTGGAGACATGATTTGGCATGCATGTGGATGGGCACTTGGCTTCACAATCTTCATAGCTTCCTCAGCCACGGCTCGAAGCTTCTGCGAGGACTTCATGGTCGGTTCGTTTCCCTTCGGGGACGATCAGGCAGGAAATGCCGAGGCCGCGGCCGCGGGCGGTTGTAAGAGTTAGTACTACTTCCGCACCTCATCTCTATTACCATCCACCTCGACGATGGTGACGGGGTGGATGGTCATAAAGATGAGGTGTGGAATTAATTGGTGGTGAGAGTAGCTTGAGTCTTGCAGTAGTTACTTCCTTGCTACGACTGCCATTGCTGCGAACAACCAACCTCCACTGGAAGCGGCAGACCTTCCCTGCCCGAGTATCATATGTGTGCGAGACTGAAGACGCAGTCGGTCGGTCTGTGTAGCCGCAGAAGTGTAGCAGCCCACGTGGAACCCTTGTGAGGGGCAGGCGCTTGGTTGAGTCAGATTGGGGTCAGGGGTGTAGGGTTGATTAGACTTCTCTGGAAGTGCGGGGCTTTGATTTCTTGCTGAAGCAGTCCTAATTGGTTGACATCATCCGTTTTTTTGCGAACCAAGCGGTACTGATTGGCTGGTACTAGTATCTCAACTATCGTTCGAACCACTCCACTCCTGCGTGCCAGATCTTCAAAGCCGTCCTCAAGGCTCCACTCAAGTTCCCGAAATGGCTCGGCGTGCACGAAAAGGCCTCCGTCTTTGTGGGTACGATAGTTTGCTCTTTCAGGTTTCGGGCTTCAGTGTTCAGGGCTAGGGACGCTAGGGTGGTTGGTGCTTCACGATGGCGGCTTCCGGCGTCAACCTTCGAGTTTCATTTTCAGTTGACATCCTCGCCCTACATGAGGATGCCAAGGAGCTTATGAAGGCTCTGTTGCCAGGAGCTCAGGGCAGTCTAGATCATTTCAGCAGGAAGGACATTGCAAGCATGGCGTGTGCCTCAAGCCGCGAGGTGCAGAGACCCTGCAAAGCGACTTGGTGCGGGCCAGCGGGGTTACGAAGAGTTGAAGGAGCCTCTCCTGCCAGTGACTGTGCTATGGTGACAGCATCGCACGCACTCGGAATCGAAGAGCCCCGAGGGGATTTGGATTGTCCTGAACATCTTGAAGAGCAGAACTGAAATCGGTCAGGGGACCTCACGCCCGGTATCACGCCGACTTAAACCTGTGGAACTCGCCTGGCCTGTCCGAGTTGTGAGAACTAGAACGGGTAGGAGCATCCTTTCTATGCAGACTTCAGCCGGGACCTCGGATCGAGTTGACGCGAGGCTTGTGGTGTTGCCAGATTTTGCTTCGCGCTGCAACCTTGCGATAGCTTTCGATCTTGCCTCAGCCATGCCGAAACTTGAGGATGGGAAGGGCTCTTGGCTCGACAGCTGGATCCGCCCTTCGTGCCCAAGGCCATGCATGTCGAGACAATGCTCTCTCCTTGACGTCTTGCTGCATAATGCGCAGGGGGAGACATATGCCGAAGATGCAGAAATCGGGAAGGACATGGATGAAGCTAAGTGGGACAATGCTCAATAAGAGTCCTTATACAAGCCTTATACAAAGGATTCTCCCTCCTGCCTACCTCATCTCACCTTTTGAGGCCTCTGAGTTGCCCGCTTTTTGATCTTCCCGTGATAGCAAGGGTCTCACGGTTCAGGGTTTACGGCTGCCGGGAATTTAGGCGTGGACGCAATGCTTGTTACATTTCTGTCTCAGTGGGCCTGGGTTCAAAGATGTCTGCTTGAGTAAGCCATAAACCCATCATGCATCTGGCTTCGCTGCGTTGCGCAGGGCTCGCTTGGCTTGTGGTGTTGTGGGTGTCGACCGCCGCAGGACGCAGAGCCTGGAACATTAACGGTTCTGGAGGAGGATGATGGAGGCAAGTCCCGGTGACCAAGTTTTCACTATCTTGCCTCGGCACTTCTACCACGCAAGGGTTGCCAAGGCAGTTTTATCCTGTGTCTGACATGTTTGCCAGACGGCGACGACGACTGGGTTGATCCCGATCCTTCCTGGGCAGATGAGTTTTGATTTGCCCGAGCAGCCTGCTCCGTCGTAGCATCCTTGCTCGCTTTGTCCATGATGATCTTCGTGATTCCCGAGAAGTCTTGCAAGTATGCCACGGTCAGCTGTCTTAAACTGCGGGTGCAACTGCGCACCTACATTCGCCCGGCATCTTCCGGCAAAGAGCCACGTGCTGGGAGGACGCTAACGTCGAAACCTCGTTGGGTCACCCGAGCCCAAAATAACGATGGACAGCACAAGATCGTTCAAAACACTAGAACAGCAGGCAGAAGCAACCGAGACAACATTTAATGTCGCCTCCTTAGGAGCCAGTCCGAAGTTAGATCATGTGTCCGGCCCGGTTTGCCAGCTGTGATGATAGTCCGACTGCGCTGAGTTCGCGAAGCTGCGCAAGCCGGGCAGCCGTTAAATTTGCATTTTCACCTTTCCTGGCATGCCGGTTGGCCCGATTTCAGCAGGTGAACTGGCACGGCCAGGTGCAGCTTAGATGGGAGTGTATCAGAATGAAGACCGCCGAGTGCGCTCTTCTGGTGTGCGAAGCTTCCGGTGAAGCAGCAAGCTCACCACAGCAAAGAATGTCCAAGCTTTGATCCCATAGTTTCGATGCCGTGTGTCTTTGCATGTTCTGTCTGTGTTCGGCATTGGGATCACGAAATGCTGAAGCTGAAGGAGGTTGCTATTTCGTGGGAGCTTCTGTGCCCTGTGCCACCGGAGGAACTTGGACAGTCATCTACCAAAGCCACAATCATCTGCTTCAACAACGCCCATGGAAGTAGCCTGTCTGTTCTAGAATTTACGTAATCGTATCGAGTCGTCCATTTCGGCCCAAAAGCACCAAACCCACTTTTCGCAGTCAGAATGTGGGTTTAGAAGAATTTGTTTTTTTCGGGGGGGGGGGGGTCCATTATAAGGCTAAGAGGGGATGAAGGGGAGCTGAAAGAGGTTTCTGGAGGGGAAGCAGGGAAGCTTTGACCGTTTCGGCCTGGGCCGAGGCGAATTACGTCGTTCCCCAGAGCAGTGCAACTGTCGACCACACCTACCACAGCAATCAAGGAGAAGAGATACTGCTACAAAGCTAATTCTGCCCCCACGGACAAGCCCAAGGTAGTTCAGCTCAGTCCTGAAGCTTAAGTCCGAACCTTCGTCTGCTGCCTCCTTCGGAAGCCAAGCGAGTGGCGCCTGGCCAAGGATCACCGCAGAGGTAGGGCAATACCAGAGATCGATTGCAGCCGCCAGGAAATTGACCTCTGCACCATATTGGCATGACATGCAGCACTCCACTCTGCTCGAACTATTGTCGTTGAAGCTATCGCGGAGAGGACATACTGCTGTTCTGTTGACTCGAACCTCGTTTCGATGCTTCGATCATCCTATGAAGTCTTTGGCGATGTTTGCACCTGGTACAACCTACACACGAGTCATGTTAGGAAAAGCCGTGGACGATTCGCCGCTTCCCGCACTTCCGTTCCTGTTCAGGTCTAGGAAACCGTGCTTGCGTGTGTGTGTGTGTGTG